GTGACGGATTTGATTAAAAGAACTATATTTTAGTAACATTAACATTTCTTGGCCAAAATAACCAAAACGAAGCTTGTTTCCTTTGGTGGTATAAAAAACTGTTCTATTTCATGTTCGTTGTTATATTTCATTATGATTTTTTTATCGAAATACAAGCTTAAGTTTTTAGCGATAATTATCATTCACATCCGTTTTAAGTTTCGCTTTCGTTTCTGGAAGTCAGCAGCTTCTAGAACTTAAGACAAGGCGGAAGGATTGACAGTGAAACAGTGGAGAAGGCCGAGTAACGTAGCTGTTTAAAACTACAGTCGGTTAAAGACATCGTTTGTTTACGCAGGACATGTAGTAGGATGCATTCAATGCTGCCTGAAGTTGTTGTGACCGAGTATCAGTGGAAAGGAGAGGATTTTCACATCTTTTGGTCCGAGAGGTGGTCACTGGGCTCTTGAACATTATTTTGACGGACCAGTACTCCCGGGTAACGCGATAAAACTAGAATCGTCTGTGCTATGGGAATATCAAGGTTTTGGGAACAGGAAAGGAGAATTGTTCGTCCATTTAATGCGACCAAGTCGTACAGGAAAACCCCTCCAGATAGCAGAACGCCGACAGTTGTTTGGTATCGCAGAGCACTACGAAAAGACGGCACATAAAGTTCTTGGTAGAGAAGATCCCATCATAGCTAAGTCAAGAAAAGGGGATTTCTAAAGATTTATGAGGAATGCTGGTGGCGGGGGAGGCCATCAACTGAAAGTTAAAAACTTCAGAATCAAGGCTACACTTTGCGAAGTCAAGAGTTGAAATGATCTAGTTTCACTAAATAAACTGGTGGGCCTTTTGCTTAAAACTCTGACTCACATATCGAAGAATTTGTACTTCATGAGACAACCTTTCCTGATTAGTCCTGATTACAGTAATTTTTTTTATTATAACCTCTAAACGTGCATGGTTTGGATTTTCATGAGTGAAGCATGTATTGGGTATTTGTCTCTAGAGTTTCATCTCATCTTTATTTATGCTATGTTCTATCTCAAAGACAGGAAAAATTGAAAGACAGCAAATTATGGTACATGGAGCTGTGACAATGGAAAGCAACAGCGAAATAAAAAGTTATACTTTAGCACTGTGGGTTGGCTGAATCATGTTTTGATTTTGGTCTGGCATAAATGAGAATCGCAATGAACTGAACCATAAACCATGAACAATGTACCAGGCCAAGTTTAGGAGTCAAATGAAACATTGAAGACAGTGGGGATGGTGAGTACTCTCACCACTGCCCCAAACACATTTAAGGTGGCCTCATGTTGAGGCTGAGTGGCTCTGTGGGCCCTTAACTCATTGCTCATAGCAGTCACTTCAGTAGTACTAGGGAAAGTAGAAGCACTTCCTTCTCCCCAAGAGTTTGGTCAGTCTAACTAAATAAGGGGTGTAAGTTTCCAAAGAAACTGTGGTGCTGCATCAGTGGGGTGTATAACTAGATAATTTGGTTTTTAGAGTTTCTAAAGGTGACTTTTCAGGTATTTTCTCCTAATTAACCTATCAATATCATGGCACCCCTCCAAGAAGAATGGTACTGTGACATTAAGAAGTTTTCTATAAAATACACAACACAAACAAGTGACAGAGCCTACTCAAACCCACATCAATCAATCTGGGGTCTGAGGTGTTAGACATCAAGCTAGCTGGTAATTCTTACGAAGATTGCCAGAGTATGCAATTGAGTGTAGCTGTAACGTAGTTAAATTGTAAATAAACACTCTTCTTTGTTAGCAGAAATATATTTGTACTGCCTTAACATATGAAAATAAGCTCTGTTAAATTAACTGATCATGAAACTCGGAAAGCTGTGAATACTTTGACTTGATTCTGACAGATGGATCGTAGATTACCAGCTATACTCTCCCACCGACGCAGCACCACAGTTTCTTTAGAAACTTACCCCCTTTATAAATTGTTTTTAAACAGGCATCGGAACACAATTTGTAGCAAAAGGAAGTATCTTTTGTTTCTTTCTTGTTCATACACCAAGACTTTTAACAAGCAATTTAGGCTGCCTGTGATACACTGTGCATCCTGAATGCGCATTTTTTCACGCGAAATTTCAGTTTCGTACCCCGTGGTCACGTTCTCCTGGGGAGGGGGTGGTGTGACCTCTGAGAACGAGATGGAAGTAATATGCGCTAGCGGCTTCAGCATCATAAAATACCTATATTCTTGGAATACAGAAACACACTGACGAATTATAGTTAGTCTCCATTTTACGCGGACAGAGAGCTATTCATCCATTTTTGGGAGCGGGGGGAACCCATTTACTTTGAGGGGTGGGAAATGCCCTTTAGTTCTTATTTGCGAATATAAAGCACCTTTCTAAAATATGAAAATTTGAAATCCTGGTCGTCTGAGGTTTCTTAACTCAAAATTTACATACAAATAATTTTGCCTTCGCATGCTATGATTTTCATTCCTTCATTTTTTTTATCCACTTGGTCTTTTTGTTTGTTTTCTTTTTTCCTTTTGTTTTTGTGCCTTTTACTTTTTTGTATGGAAAATTGATCGTGACTGACTCTTCAAATAGAAGTGACATTTGACGTCTCCTTTGAATTGGAAACTGTTTGTTGTATAAATCAGGAGATAAATTTGGAAACAACGTTACTGTTGCAAAGCAGTTGTCGGTTAACATTGCTTGCTTGCGTTTGTTATTCCATGGAACGACTCGACCGTGTTTTCTTGTGGCATATTGCAGGTTTCCTCGATCCTGCAGATATTGCGCATTTCCGAGGAACTTGTCGGAGGTTGTACTCATTGCTGCCCAAGGTTACTGTGACTAAAGATCTGTGGGAAGGAAATGACTTTCATATCCACGGTTCACGTGAAGGCCACTGGTGTCCTGAAAAGTACTTCGACGGACCAATACTCGCAGGTAATTTGCTGAAGCTAGAACTTTCGGTTGTGTGGAAGGACCAAGGCTGGGGGAACAAAAAAGGAGAGCTGTTCGCCTATTTGATGAGACCAAGTCGTACAGGAGAACCAGTTAAGATTGCCGAACACAGAAGATTGTTTGGCATCGCAGACCATTGCCAAACGAAACCGAATGCAGAGATCGGTAGAGAGTACGCTATTGTGGCCAAGTCGAAGAAAGGAGATTTTTGCAGATTTATGAGAAACGCTGGCGGTGGAGGAGGACATGAACTGTTCGTAAATAAATTTCAGGTCAAGGCTACAATATGTGAAGTGGAGTGTGAAACTTAGTTTATTTGAAAATTTTGATCAATTCAAAACGAATTCATATAACTGGTATTCATCGCTTTGAAGACAACTCACATCAGAGGAGCGGTATTTGAAAAATATTTTTTAGTTGTCAATGTGATTTTCAAAGGGTATCCGATTCAAACTCAGAGACTCAGAGAGGGAAAAAATCCCAGGGATTAAGGATATTCTCTATTCATGACCACTGCCTTCTTTCAAGACCAACTGAGTTCCTGAATTGAATAATACGACCAAGCTAGCCTTAAACTAGCCTTAAGCTAGCCAAACCTGAATTTATAACCAAAATTTAAAAAAAAAACAATGAGATAAAAAATAAAATGAGTATGTAAAAACTGAAACAAAACGCACGTTTTAACCGAGGAGCAATGATTATTGTTACGAATTATCTAAAACGGGCTGCCAAACCGAAATTGATTTTCAAA